CTATAGAATCAAACAAACAAAACATAAGGGTTTTCTAAATGTGTTAATATCTTTGAGATGCTAGTATATTGTTTAACTGCTATTAGATAAAATAGCATGTACTTGTAAAACATGTTTTACATTGTAAATCTATGTCATGTCAGTATCACTGAGATACTTATAATTTTTATAAGTATTATTTTGAAAAAAAAAATATTTTTTCAATTTAATTTCAGTTTTAGTAATTTTGTTGTGGTTTGTTATTAGTTTCTTAATGTCTATACAATTTTTATTTTTAGTTTGTTTATTTAGTACAGCAAATTAAACTAAATGAAAATATGAAATGTTTCCTTGTCAACTAGCCAAAATAAACTAGTCTAATACCATTACCGCTTATTTCATTTTATTTTATTTTTTGTTAACTATAATAAATATTTCACGAGAGAGAAACTGCATTGAAGATTTTCCATTGACATTTAATGGCATGAATAAAAAGTCATTTATCTGAATGAATTCCAAAACAACTACTATCGCTCAAACACAAGCACTAGTTCACAGTGAGGAGTGTGTGGAAACAGGTCCACAGGGACGGCCACAGTTGGTTTGAAGGCTTCTCCAATGATCTTCCTCTTATAGTCTGAACTGCACAGGCCTATAAAGTTCCTCATTGCCTCCCCATCAGGTTTGCATGATATATAGACAAACCTTCTTATGGCTGGGTGGTTCCTCAAGGCTCTGACAACTCGATAATGTAGGCCAGCCCTGGACGGATTCACAACAGCTATCAGCCCGCCGTCAGAATTCAAAGTGGCCATCAGATTTGGTAGAACAACTTCCGCTTTGCCTGAGAGATATTCACAATTATGAACTCTGTTTAGTGCTGCATTAAACTTGGCGTCCTCAACCGCCTGCTCAATGAGCTCGATGCCAATGACTCTCTCCATCTGTGGCGATAACGAAATGCCAATAGCTCCAGTACCACAGCAGACGTCCAGCAGAGTGCCCCCAACACAAGCCCGATTCAGCTCCGCAACAGTCTTGTACAAAGCTTCTGCCGCGCCCCGATTCACCTGGAAGAAAGAATCAGCGGAAATGCGGAACCTGAAGCCAAGCACCTCCTCAAAGATATGGGGCTGTCCGTGCAGAAGCTGATAGGGGGATTGTTCATGACTGCAACGGGTCATTGTGGTCTCCTGGAAGTACAGAGAATCCAGTTGACAAACTGCTCCTGGACCTTGTGTGAAGTACTCCACCAGAGCAGCTTTATGGACGGCTATCTCCTCAGGCGTTAGGGTTTGGGGATGGAAGTAAACTATGGCCATCGTGTGACCGGCGGAATTTGTTCTTATCGTGATTTCTCTCCAGTGACCACCATCGTGAAGTAAAATGCATGGTTTGAGTGGTGAGAGGCGTATAAAATCTTCATAGTGCCTTGCAACCATCTTGTGTTTTGAAGGCATGTTCAGGAGATGGTCACCGTGGACACAGACAATGTTGCCTGCTTTACCAGTGCCGATATAAAATCCAACAGTTTTTGGATTCCCATCTACCCCTATGTTGACAGAGAAAGTTGATTTGTTGCGGTATCCATCACTCACTGGTGAGGCTACTATGGGAAGGAGGGGGAATCTTAAGTCATTTGAAAAAGGGTGCATTGAATCCTGAGCTAGTTGCTTTGTCATCTCAAGTAAGATCTTGTGCTGCTGCTCTTGTTTCCACTG